TCTTTGGTGCTCGATCGATGCACGTGGGAGGACATGTTAAATTTTTTACGATGTAAATTGCCGCCGATTAAAATGAAACTGTTTGTTTTGGACCTAAATTAACCAGTTTATTGGCATATTATTTAAATGCTTAATAAATTAAGACTACCTATATTAGACAGTTTTGGAAAAATATTTTATATATTAGGTTTGACTCAAGATATTATATTTATTTTGCCTTATAAATTCAGTAATTTGTATATTCTAAGCGTGTAAACAAATAGTAACCCACCTAACTAAAGTGACAAACAAGGTGTTATCACAGTGAAGAAACTTAATGGAGTTAAAAACAAACACATGAGGTAATAACGATAACAATTAAAATTTATTAATTAATAAATAATTCTCAAAATATATCTCATATAAAATATAGTTAATAATTAATAGTATGGCAAAGAGAATTAAATAGTAGGTACCTAATTGGAAATAGTCCAGCAGTGACACCACACAACACTATCACGCGAATGTCCGGTCGATGTAGTCGCAGTCGAACTCTGCGAAGAACGAGTCGAACGGAGACAGCGAGTCCTCGGCGAACTCGGAGGGCGTCTCCTGCTCCAGCTCCGTGGAGAACTCGGAGAGGTCGGAGCACAGCGGCGAGGGCCAGCGCTCGGGACGTGACCCGTCCGTCTCGGGGCTGGACTCCCGCAGCACCGCCGACAGCGCCGAGATGTAACGCATGGCCAGCCGCAGCGTCGTGATCTTCGTCAATTTCTCGCAGGGCACCGGTGTCCCGGTGATGGCTGACGCCGGGACAGCGCGGCGCAGGGTCTCGAACGCGCGGTTGATCTCGCGCATGCGGCTCCTCTCCCGAGCGTTGGCAGTTTTCCTCCTGTACTTGCTAAGAGGCTGCGGAGTGCGTCGCGCACGCGGCTCGCGGCTGCGCGCAGCGCGCGGTCGCAGCTGGTACTTGTCGTGATCCGGCATGGAGTGAAGCCGGCGGCCGCCCCACGCGACCACGCCGCCCGCGCAACGTCGCCTCAAGAAAAATACGCTCACTCCGCCCACTTGCCCCGCTCCGTTCATGTACAGTCGAACACGCAGCTTTTAACATTGCATTGTATTTAAATAAAAACCTACACAATTACGACAAACTTAAATCATGTTATGTACAAGGTGTCAACCGACATAATTTACGATACGAAATATCTTTCTCAATATAAGGTTGTGAAATAAAAATAAAAGATTGTAGCTTTGAGAAGAAAAATAATTTAGGTAGCCCGTAAAATTCAAAATACTCGCTAATGAATCTGCTTCGGTCAGGCTGGATAGTGGGCAGATTAGAAGATACACCATGACAAACAAGAAAATAAATATTGTGCTGTTGTTATTGATCCAAAAACAAATATTAAAGCATTACAACATTTTCTTATAAACAAGCTACATAGGTTAATAAAATAGACAATGTTTTAACGACACACAGAACGCTATCAAGTGCCAGTAGCTACCTAATTACGAATGCACCGTGCGTAGCGTAGTGAGGTAAGACTTGAGCGCTCCCCTGTACCTCAGTCACAATGAATGAACAACATCCAGCTACATAACTCATTGGGTAATAGGTAGTAATCGGATTGATACCATTTGCATATTCGATTCGGCATTTCCGTTCTGAAGGCTCTGCGTGGACTAATTGTTTACCGACCTTGCCGAACGAAGTACTCGACTGTTCCTACGTGGGTTATGATCAAGTCGTGTGTAGGCTGATCATTGGTGACGCAAAATGTCATTATGTAACGCTACTACTTACTTGCATAGGTTGCAATTTCGCCCTTTGCACTTTTAGTTAGGTAAGTAGGTAGGTGGTAGGTCAGTCAGTACTGTAATCACGCCTACACTTGACTTAAGCTTGTTAAAGTTTTTCTACTAAACTGTAGGAATTAAATTACCTAATATTACTATGAGTGTAATTTCCAATAATTAACAAAAACAAAACATCTATTATCTATATATACTTATAATAAATCTGTAGAGAGGTAAATTCTGTACATAAAATATATTTAAAAAATAACTATCAAGGGGTGGTTAGGGATCGCTACTGATGCCAAAAATGCAATCAGTTAAATTTTTGTCTGTCTGTCTGTCTGTCTGTATGTTCGTTATGGAAACAAAAACTACTCGATGGATTTTAACGAAATTTGGCACAATTATTCTTCATACTCTTGGGCAGGTTATAGTATACTTTTCATTACGCTATGATCAATAGGAGCAGAGCAGTGAAGGGAAATATTGGGAAAACGGGAGAAGTTACTCCATTTTTTAAGCTTACGTCGCGTGTGCAGGCTTATAGGTTAAAGCTGCATAGAAATCATGTATGACGGAAATATTCTCCTTAAAATTATATAAAAATATTCCTCGACAGCATATGCCTATCTTTTATGGTTGACTCACAATAAAACGTGAAACTCCCGATAGCTTAGCAATCGGTGATTTCTGATTGTAGTTATTTGTCTACTCTAACGTTCACAATACTCATTCATAGACTTTACGCTGTAACTGAAAGGCCAATGGTTGAATTTAGCTTGACTCGATATTATAAATGAAAATATGTGAGTTTATGTGTATGTTTGTTACTCAGTCATATTAAAACGACTGAAGGGACCGGAATGAAATTCGGAACAGAGGTAGATTATGGTCTGAAGTGATACATAGGCATTTTACCCCTGGGATCGCGGGCGAAGCCGCTGGCAGAAGCTAGTTAATAAAATATAAAGTTAATTTAACCTTCTTGTTTGAAGCGTGGTACAGAATATACAGATAGGCTGAATGGTCAAATTCCATATTCAAACACGCAGTTCAATATAAAAAACGATGTGAAAAAAATAAAATTCTAATTATAGTTAGGTACAGGAAGAAAATTATTTATCAATAACATTTCCATTGAAATAAATTAATTTTATAATGACTTCACCTAAGTTGTCGTCAGCAAATGAACTGCAATGTGAATTGCTGCTATACTTAGACATCAGGCGCTACCTTGCTGACATGAGAGATCACTGCGAGGATTTCTTAGAACAATTAACTGAGAAAACATTGAGTAAGTTCCCGCCATTACGATTTTTATTCGAGATTGACGTCATGGACTTGTTGGATGTATCACCTGAGCTAGGGGAATTTTTTATAGCGGAACCGAATAAATTTAAAAGAATGTGTAACGATATTTTATTTGCATGTGTTCAGGCTACCGATATTGAAACGAGAAATAATATAGAATATGACCAAGTAGCTGTGATATTGAGATTGAAAAGTGTTCCAATTGATTCTAATTCACGTTATCATAAAGGGTTGGTCACTATTGATGGACTGCTATTATCTGTTTCGAAACCAGAAACCTATGTTCTCCATTCAGTTTGGTCTTGCCCCGAAGAATGTGACGGCAACGAAGTTATTCTACACTACATACCAAAACATCCGCCCAAATGTCATCTATGCAAAAGTAATCTATTTGAAAACAGTGGGTTGAGGCAATGCGGAGAACAAGTGACTGCAACATTCAAAATACGTAATCAGTTACTTCCAAAAACATTGAAAATTACTGATGATCTAATATCAAAGTTGAACCTTGGCACACGATACATTATACATGCTGTTGTCACGAAAAAAATAACAACAATCTTGTCTATGGAAAATGTAATTACTCTAGCAGCTCCGCTAACCAACCCCATCCCTAAAGACGTAGATGACTTATTCAAAGCATGCAAAGAAACACCTTGGAAGTTCATTTACTGTCTAGCTTCAAGTATAGGAGTCAATGTTTGTCCTTTACATTGTTTCATGCATCTCAAGATTAACTTGTTGTTAAGTCTCACTAGTGTGAAGGCAAACGCTGTCTCGGGGGCGAATATCTTACACGTCCTCGTCGGAGGTTTCGACACAAGATATGTTGGAGAAATAATGGCCGATGCTGCGAAACTTGCTGATAGATCTGTGATCTTAGGAGCGTCTAACTCAGTAGCACAAACTGCTTTGATAGCAAGTTCTGGAGGAGTTTGTGTCATGCCTTTACCACTTCACATTTACAGCCACAAGCAGATTTCAGCTATACTTGCAGCGATAGAAACAGGTGATATGAATACTGGTACAGCATTAGCAAAGTTGAATGCAGCAGTGTGGGCGCAAGGAATGGACTTTAAGAAGATGATACTATATAACGTCGCTAGTGTCTTTGGAAATGTATGCCGTGGCGATTGTGGGGAGTTTTACGATGAGATTAACGAGTTTGTATTGCAAAGAGCTGTGGAACCAGTTGGTATCTGCAAGGAAGAAATAAAAGCGCTGAAAGATGTAGCAACGTATATAGATGTGGTAGCAGGAATTGAAGTCGTTATTGACGACATGACCAAAAAGTTATTGCAAAATTATTTCCTGGCAGCTCGGAAAGAGAACACAAAGATCGTTTGCGTTGGAAGCATGAATGCTTTGGTAACGATTTGCCTTACTTCAGCGAGACTGTGTCGTAGGAGAGTTACTAATATCGATGACGCGGTTTTCGCTATTTGGCTACATGTTTGCGGAAGTCCCGAGCCTCGGTTCGCCCCCGAGGACTACTTACAAACACCAGCAGACGTGAGAAAATTACAAAAAGTCATAACAAGCTTCAAACATTGGTTAGAAGAATTTACCGGCAGTTGTTTACTTTAACTACTCCCTACGTTTTCTGTTTTATTGTAAAACAACTATATTTACTTGTTATTGTTAATTTGTAGTGGCTATTTTCAACACTTATTCAATATTTAATTGAAAATAATTATGATTATCATCAATGTTATTCCCCGGAGGCTGTGGCATACTTATTATACCTACTTACATTTCACCAATTACGCCTCAGCTTTGTGATGATGAATACAGCACTGTTTTGTTAAATATTTTTAGAAACTTGTCAAAATTACAAATACCCTCGAACGAAACACTAGATTGGCTCGGGGACAATTTAATTTGAATTTATTTCACACGTAAGGTATATTTTAAGTTCCTACAGATAACGGACCTACGAACATGATATAAAATAACTGCGTAATAAAACAACTTAATCAAACTATTATACATTTATTTGTTATTTGTTCAATATATTATTTATTATGCTTTTGACTAGAAGATAAATTGTTAGTTAGTGTATATAAATTCACAAGTAGTTTAACTTAGAAATAGTTTTACGTTATAGCAACTCTAAATGAATTTAAAGACAACAATAAGTACTTACTAAGTAAGAATCTTAAAGATAAATGCATTAAAATTATTATTTTTAGCACCATAAAAGTCCAATGTTCTTTAAAACTAAATTAATTATTACACAGACAATAAGGCACTGTTACGTTAAAATTCACAATCTCAAATTTTCTATTGGAAAAAAAGGCCATCAAAAGATAAGATGGACAATTATGTGAGGAACAATACGACAAAAGGCGGTTCGTGACAGATGACGTTGATAGGAGAGAATAGAAGAGATTGCACCCACCCCAAGTAACTTAGAAAAAGGCATGATCAATTCAATCTAGTCATCATTCAAAAAGCTGAAATCTAACTTTTTCAGCAACTCATTTTGTGAGTTCAATTTCAATGATAAACTCATTTGGCTTTGTCTTATCTTCATACTGTCCTCAATAAGAGATTTCAGTACTTCGTCATCTTCTAATTTATTGGTCACATTGATGCAATGTTTAGATACAGGTTCTCCAATCTTGAAGTCTTTCTTTTCAAAGGAGACCACACTGTATGGTACATTTGAAAATCCATCAGAATCTTTTACTACACAGCTTATAGTTGCCCATGTACACTTGGTCAGCTCATCTAACAAGTTTGTCACATCTGACATCAATTTAGTGGTTGAATCTGCGGCATTTAATACTATGTCATCAATCTTAGAAAACTCCATACTACATCCATAAGTTTCAACACAAACGCCTGTTGACGGACTTCTTGTAATATCTTATTTCTGAGTTTGAGGCAGTAATAGCATATCTCTACTATGTCATGGCACTGTACTTCTCTACCTCGGTTAGCTGATTCACCTTTCTTATAACTTAAAAATGCTTTGTAAGCATTAGCATACACAGCTTGGTAGTTGTGTTTAGTAACAAAGTTGTTGATGTCAGCTGTGATGACTTCATTACTGCGTCTAGTGGCTGACTGCAGCCTCACCGTCAGTTGGCTCCAAGCAGTTTGTAATTTTTGTATTCTTCCTGTAATGTCATCTGCATTTTTGAAAATTTTATCAAAACCACCAAGTAAGTGAGACCCATTTGATTCCTTTAACTCTGTTATGTGTGCTTTTCCAGAATCAATCATCTTCTTGAGTATTTCTTGTCTGGCAAGAAGATTACCAATATTTTTATCAACTGAATTATGTTTCAATAACAACTGTTTTCCTTCACATTTCAGTGACTCGGCTCTGACAAACAATCCATTGATAAGAGAATCATACAGTTCCATTTGTGACATAACAAGATATAAGGCATTCTTATATAAGTTTTGACTGTTTTTATAATTATAAAATGCTTTTGGGTGTTCCAAACACCTCTGTACTGCCTTTGGGACAATTGCTTCCACATTCTCTTTCATAATATATGTCTTGTTGTAAAGGAACAGCATAATATTTTCATTCCAGTACTTTACAATACATTCATCATCTCCGGGCTCCATGTAGTTCATTTGAGTTATCACAATTTGTTCACTTGTAGGAATTTTGGTGTCACTGTATATCTTAGATTTTAGCATTAGCACAGTTGTTGCATCATCAACTTCATAGGCAAGTTTAGATAAAGTTGCTACAGAAAAAATATTAACTATTTTCTTTTCTAAAATCTTTTCAAGGACATCAAATATAACAATTTTACTGGCCTCCTCCTTCTGTTCACTGGGTATGTTGAATGTGACTCGAGAAGGAGTATCTCTGCCTCTTAGTTTAGGGTCCCATTCTAGTGCAATTCTTAGCCATTGCTCTATTAAAGCCTTGAAGGGTTTGGAAATATAATTCTCTGGGAATACTTCATTTGAATATTCAATGTCCCCATGGAAAGTCTCATACACACACACATTTTCATGGGCCTTCTTCTTAACAAGGGGCATCCACTGCACAGGGGGCATAAAAGGCAGGAATGGCCGTTTACCACAGATTAGTTCAAAAACAACCAAACCAAATGACCAAAAGTCGACAGAATTACTGTATGTCTTACTGTACATGATTTCTGGGGCTAGGTACTGTAATGTGCCCACTAGACTGGCACATACAGAGTTAGAATCTATTTCTTTAGCATAACCAAGGTCTATTAGTTTGTAAATTACCTTTCTTTGGCTTTGCACAGCTACATTGCTCTGTACTGAATCTAATATGTGCATCACAATGTTTTCAGGCTTGAGATCTCTGTGTGTAATCTTGTTCTGATGTAGGAAATGCATAGCACATCTGAGATCACTGAGTATTTGTCTGATTTGTTGTTCTTTGAGGCCTGCACATGATTCTGGTTTGTTGAGCACCTGCCGAAGGTCACCACCGCTGCAGTACTCCATACAAAGAATTGGTAGGCGCGATGGATTGGCGCGCTCGAGTCCTTTTACGAATTCGGGAGGTAAATCTTTTGTACCCACAATATTTGGATTGCGGCAGCCCTGTAACATTTCCACTTCCTTCGTCCATCGTGCTCTGTGTTTCTCAGAAAGCTCATTGCCCCACTGGCAAGTCTTTATTGCTAGTTTCTCATCAGTTTTTTTGTGTTTCCACAATACAACAGTACCAAAACTACCTTTTCCAAGTTCTCTTTCCTTTATCCAATCACCAATAAATACTATGTCGTCCATTTCTTACGTATCAAAAAAGCGTATTTAGAACACAACTTACAGCAATTACGATAGATATGATACCAAAAATAACTTTACGTTCTTGTTCATCTTACACAAAAGTATTGCAGGCAGTCACGCACGAAACTTTGTTTGATAACTAGTTTCTTTAAATAGTCCATTTCTTATTTATTCTAAACCTTTATGAATTTTATCTACTTATTGTTATTGACATCAGTTCTTATTTGAATCTGACTGGAACAAAGAAATTATTATTTCAGCAGATCGATGAAACACAAATAAAATAATGTACACGTTCTGCAATATTTTTTTTATGAACAGGTACTATTTATTATTAAAGCAAAGAAAATGACAACTATAAAAACTTATTCCTGGAAAATAAGGCTCGCTCCTTTACATGCAACTTTTAACACGCAACAACATACGACTAATTTGTAAAATTAAATTTTGTATTTCAACCAAAAGTTCTACTCTTTAAAAACTCCACTGGGATAAACCAGTTCTTGGCTTACTTCAATTCCTAATTTATTGTTCAAATGTGTTGGAATATTTAATTCTAAAAACGTTACGTTCTACGCGAATTAAAAGACAAAGTCTGACTGTCAGTGTCAACCAGCGTCAACCTGATAGTGTCAAGCAAACTGTCATCATCAGCAGAAAGCTGTCTGTTTATTGTTTTTTTTGTCAATTACTTATTTAACGTAGAATATTAATGATAATTCGTAGTAATAATTAAATATAAGCTATAATGTTCGACATAACTGGTTTATGTCGCGGCTGTATGAAGGACAATGTAAGTTTAGTGAACTTATATGAAACCGTTCAAATTGAGGAGGACAGCCTTCAATTAGCTGAATTATTGGTGCAATGTACGCCAGCGGAGGTATGTAACTTTAAATTTAATATCATTGATTTAAATATCCATTAATCAAAGTGTATCATCATAATATCGATCATAATTTTGTTGGTAGGTAACCAAGGAGGATGGGCTACCACAAAACCTATGCGATGCATGTATCAAGGTGTTACAAGTTGCATACACCTTCGTATACAGGTGATAAAGTCACAGGAAGAGTTAAAAAAGATCCTACAAACAAATATAAAAAGTGAACCACTGGATGTCGATCTCAAGACAGAAGATAATGTCCAGGACTATTTTGATACATTTGAAGATTTTAATTTTGATAATGATATCCCCAAAACAGAACTTGAAAATGTGATATATACCTGTAATAAATGCAGTAAACAATTTACTAAACACAATAGATATTTAAGACATTTAGGAGCTCATGAGAATTTGTCATTAGAATGTAGTATCTGTAAAAAGTTATTTGGAAATCAAGAGCTATTAGATAAACACAAAGCGAAGCATGAGAAAACAACATGTTTGATTTGTAATAAACATTTTGAGAAGGAGACCGAGCTACTTCAACACATGGTGTTACATACAGAAGGCCTTGATATAAAGGTTGAGGATGAGGTGTCGGTGAACATTCTTCGTTGTATGGAATGTAATATAACATTTACGAAAGCGAGATCACTTGCAAGTCATATGAAGAAACATAAAAACAAGCAAAGCGAGACAGAATTTGTATGTGATACGTGTGGTAAGAGGTTTTAAAGAAGTGTATATTAAAACGACATTTGTCAATGCATGAGAAGAAGCACAAATGTGACAAGTGTTCAAAATCGTTTGCGAGACGAGATCAACTGGTGGCTCATGCATATAGTCATAAAGATAAGAAGCCCTATGTCTGTTCTTACTGCAAGAAAGGTGAGTTTAATCTCATAATTATCCACTAAAATATAAAAAAAAACCTTAGTGCAGAAAGAAAAAGAAAATATTCACTATAGTTGTAAAATCTAAACCTATAGCTACATTAACTTAAAATCGCGTGTTACTCACGTGAATATACTGAAAAAAGCTGTACTTATTTTCCACGTAGGCTGCACGACATCGCCGCGACCGCGCACGCTGCTCATGAGTAAGAACCCCTCTGTGGTTCGAAACTAGTAGAGCTTTTCTCAGATTTTTTTATGAAGATAATCTTTCTAATAGATTTTGAACATTATCATTTAAAAATAAAGTTTAAAATCAATTAACATGTATCATTACAGGTTTCTCCCAAATGTGCAGTCTGAAGGACCATGTCCGCACTCATACGAAGGAGACTCCGTATCTATGTTCACAGTGTGGTAAAGGCTTTGCTAATAACTCCAATCTCCGGCAACATATGATGCGACACACTGGCATTAAACCATTTGCCTGCAACCTGTGCCCCAAGACATTCTGTACTAAAGGTGAAAAAATTTGTCTATGTTATTTAAATTCATTATTTTCAACGATTTTCTCACGAAACAGTATGTTTTACGAAGTTAGTCGCAAGAGACCTAGTCGACCCAGCGAGTATCGCAGTAAATTATGCATGTGGCTTAAGATTATAGGCCCCTAATGAGGCTAGAAACTACTTGAGTCACGTCGTCGTATTCTTATGTGGATAAATAAAACAACCTAAATAAAAATAATCAAAAAAAAATATCTCCTAGACTCATTACACATTTGAATTTTTTAAACTACAGTGACGGAATTGCCAGGGCCTTAACTAAAGCCGCGGAAGGCCTAATTAGGTTGCCGGGGCTCCGGCTCTAGCGCCCCGTCTCCAGCGCAGGCGTAGGAACGGCGGCCTTAACTACATTAGCATCATCTCATGAGTCAAAGACGATCCAAATTGTTTCAGATTATTGATTTTCTGTTTGTTGTTGTTGGTTTATGTTTTTTTTTCTTTTTTATCCTGGTGATAAGCGATGACGCGGTCTACGATGGAGGACGTTGTCTCATAAACAACCTATTTACCCGTGTCTTGAAAACACCTAAGTTATATACCCTTCAGGAAATACAGACTCTTGGCAAAGAATTCCAATCCTTAGCAGTACGCACAAGGAAGCTTGATGCGAAGCGCTTCGTGCGTGTGGGTGGGACATCTACCATGAGTCGGTGATCAATAAGTAGTTATTTAATCTGAATGATTGTTTCTCAAAATTGCAGGTCAGATGACGTCCCATTTGACGACACACACGGACGCGCACCCGTTCAAGTGCGGGGTCTGTGGCGCCGCCTTTACCAAACAGAACTCGCTGAAGAAACACTCTCTAATACATCTCGCTGTACGACCGTTCGCCTGCGATACTTGTAATATGAGGTCGGTTTTTTAATAGTTAACTTTATTTCTAGTGTATAAAGTTTATTTTTTGTTGGAACTGGTATATTTTCACGGTACATATCTGTAGTTCAGGTTAAATTAAAAATGATTGGTTAAATTGTTTTTCTTTGTAAGGATGGTTATAATTTTGAACAAATTCTATAGTTAGTTGGCGTTCGTTTCTTGGTGCATGTAATGCCCCAAGGGTTGCAAGCCTACATAAGCCACGGCAGTGGCGTAACTATACCATTTGGGGCCCGTGGCAAATTTATCGGATAGGCCCCCGTTCCCAATAAAACAGAGAAGTTCAAACGAAAACCCCTGAACGGGGCCTTCTAGCTGGGGGCCCGTGGCATTTTGCCAACTTGCCACCCTGTAGTTTCGCCACTGAGCCACGGTAACCGCTTATCATTAGGTAAGCCGTGTGCTTTATTGCCACCGTCGTGGTATAAAAAAAAACAAAAAGTAACTTATCTCCCTTATAACTATTTATAAGTACCTATTACTGTTTGGTTTTCCACTAACCTATTCCATTCAGTCATTCACAAATGACGATGACACTTGAATTTTCAATACATATGAGTAGGTAAAATTAAATTGTATGGTTCTTACGGCTTTCTTAAACTGTCAAACACCAAGCGGTCACCGGTGACCGCAACCTATTGTTCTTTAATTGTGTCTATAAATACGGTACTCGACGAGTTAAATAACTTAATTATCAATGAAATTAATCATCATGTTATTCATGCATGTTGATTAATGGCACTAGGTACTGAATTTATTCTTTTTAATATGTTGTTTCTATTATTATGGGTATTGGAGTATGATCCTCTGATTAGGCTTAGTGCTCATGCTTGATTTGTCATTTCTATATATACAACTAGCTGTTGCCCGCGACTTCGTCCGCGTAGATTAATGACTTCTGACAGAATTAATCAGAATCAATTCAGTGCCCAAGTAAGATTTACCTATTTTGAAATGATTTATCGTAGTTTCAATAAATAAATAATCCCGCAGGGATCTTACCAGTACAGTGCCCGATCACGTAAGGTTTGAGTAATAAAAACTATTCTATCGACTATTGTTGTACCGAATCTCTCTAGAATAAGTTCAGTGGTTAAGAGTTAGAGAGTCCTGGGGCATTGACGCATAGTTCCCGTTCTCGTGAGACATCTGTGAAAAAACTATCATACGTTACCCAGGTCCTAAATCATCGTTTTACCGAATGTAATTCAAAAAGATTCAATGATTCTAAATTCAACGGCTAAGAAGATTTATACAAACTCTCATTCCCTATTTTATCCCCTTAGGGGTGGAATTTATCAAAATCCTTTCTAAAGAGATACCTATGTCATAGTAACTTTATGCATGCAAAGTCTCCCGATCAATTTAAAACTGGCAAAGTATCATACAAACTTTCACCCCCTATTTTACCCACTTTGGGGTGAGAATGTTCAAAAACCTTTCTAAAGGGACGTTTACGTCATAATATCCATCTGCACGCCGAATTTCAACCCGATCGGTGTAAAACTGACAAAGCTTCATACAAACGTTCATCCCCTATTTTACTCCCTTGGGGGTGGAAATTATCAAAATCCTTTCAAAGAGGATGCTTGTCATAACATCTATCTGCATGCCAAATTTCAACCTGATCGTTTAAAACTGACAAAGCTCATATAAACTTTCATCCCCTATTTTACCCCTTGGGGGTGGAAATTATCAAAATCCTTTCACAGCGGATGCTTACGTCATAACATCTATCTGCATGCCAAATTTCAACCGATCGTTTAAAACTGACAA